GCTCCCATATGGCTGACCACGGTTCAAGTCCTGAAACTGGTGGCTTGCTTTCTCACTTTCCTTTCGTGTCTCTCTCTGATCAAACTGGAAAATACTACTACTACTAAATATTTTTAAAATACTTAAATTCTTAAAAAAAAAAAAAAAAAAAAAAAGGTGCATCTCAATTTGGGCGGGCAGTGGCGTCTGATAATGGCCTTGCTGCGGAGCTGGCCAAGGCAGCTGTCGAGCCACAATCCAAGTCCTGGTCACTGGGACGTCCCACCAGCAAGACGCCAGCCCTGGGCTTGGCGACTTAATGCTAACTGGACTTGCAAAGGGGGACACGTGATCTGGATGGCCGCAGGACACAGCTTCAGAGGGCAGAGGCAGCCCTGCAAGGACCCGAGGCCTGGCAGCAGGCCATCTTTGGACTGGCAACCTGCAGTGTGCTGCATTCCCGACTGAGCCGTGGGTTCCAAGCAGCACGCTCTGCGTCTGGCGGGCAGCTCTGCGCCTGGCGGGCGGCCCTGCGCCTTCGCCAAGTAGGTCAGAAGCCCTCCATTTCCAGCACTGCCCATAGCAACAGGGGCCCTGAGGCAAGACTGGGTCATCCACCTGCAAGACCCCGGTGCCAAGGAATCCATGGTGAAGACCCGGCGAGGTCTCTGATAAGCCTTCTGAGATGCGCAGCACACGGAAGGAAATGAGCTCAGGTAGGGAAGAAACAGATGCTTCAGCGAAGTAGAAAACACAGAACAATGGAGGAAGCCGCAGGAAGCAAAAGCTGGCTCTCCTGGAAAAGCGGTAACACTGGGAGATCTCCAGTAGACCTGCTCAGGGAAACAGGAGACCCTGGCCACTCATGCCAGGAAGAGACTGACATTGCTCTAAATGTGAAAATGGAATGTGTCTGAATACAGCGCAGGCAGCTGGTGATGTGAAGGCAGCTGGATCCTACATTGCCAAGTGCACGGTTCAAGTCCCAGACCTGGCAGCTTGCTTTCTCACTTTCTCCTTTTTTTTTTTTTTTTTTTGAGAGATTTTTCGCTATAGGGAGCGTGCGCTTGCCAGACAGAGAGACAGAGAGGCAGAAAGCAAGAAATCACCCCCCAGAGGGGATGGCCATGCCGCAATCCCTTCTCCTCTTCTCCTCTCAGGATCCTAGGCACACACACACGCGCCTGGCGTGGGTTTTAAGCCACCGGGTCCGGGACGCGAACTGCGGTCGACTGCGTGGGAGTCCAGTGACATAGCCCTTATGCTAACTGCTGGTTCCCTTTCTCCCTCTCTTTTACTCTGTCCCTCTCTGGTCACATTTAAATAAATAAATAGAGTAATAAAGTAATGTAGTAAAAAAATCCTTTAAAAAAAAAATCGAGGGACCAGCAGTTAGCGTAATGGCTATGTCACTGAACTCCCATGTAGTCAACCACGGTTCCCGGACCCAGTGGCTTAAACTCATGCCAGGCTCATGTGTGCACATGCCCAAGATCCCAAAAGGAGAATGGAGAAGGGATTGTGGCATGGCCATTCCCCCTGGAGGGTGATTTTTCACTTTCTGGCGAGCGCATGCGCCCTATAGCAAAAAACCTCTTTAAAAAAAAAAAAAAAACTAATAAAAATTAAAAATTACCTTTTATTAAAAAAAAAAAAAAAGAAATTGAATTTATAGTTTTAAAAACCTCATGTGATCCAGCAGTTGACGTAATGGCTATGTCACTGTACTCCCACATAGTCAACTACAGTTCCAAGTCCCGGACCCTGTGGCTTAAAGTCATTCCAGGCGCATGTGCATGTGTGCACAAGTTCCCGAGAGGAGAATGGAGAAGGGATTGCAGGGTGGCAATCCCCCCTGGAGGGTGATTTCTCACTTTCTGTCTCTGTCTCTCTTGCAAGCGCACATGCCCTATAGCAAAAATCTCTCCAAAAACAAACAAAACCTTTTGTGAGGCTAGCCGGTGGTGGGGTTATGGTGGCTGGATCCCACATGCCAGACTGCAGTTTGAGTCCTGGACCCACAGATTGAGAAACAGCCAGGTGCATGCACCTGTGTGTCCAAAATCCCAAGACAAGGGGACCAGCAGGTGGCATAATGGTTACATCGCTGGACTCAACCAAAGTTTGAGTTCCAGACCTGGCAGCTTAAAACTCACACTAGGCACATGGGTGAAAATGCCCAAAATCTCGAGAATGGAAGAGAAGGGACTGTGGCATGGCCATCTCCCATGGTGGTGTGTAGGGGGGTGATTTCTCCCTTCCTGTCTATCTCTCTGGCAAGCAAAAATCTCTCTTAAAAACAAACAAACAAACAAAAAAACGAGAAGAATGAAGGGACCATAGCGTAGCTATCCCCATTTTCTCTTTCCCCCTCTTTTCCTTCTCTCTGGCAAGTGCACATGCCCTATTCCAAATACAAGGATATACTCTCAGTACGTCTAACAGAAATTGAACAAGAGGGGCCAGCAGGTGGTGTGGTGGTGAAGGTGCTGGACACTCCAACATGGCTGACCATAGTTCAAGTCCTGGACCTGGTGGCTTGCTTTCTCACTTTCCCTCTCTCTCTCTGTGTCTCTCTCTGGTCAAATTAAAATAAATGAATGAATAAACAAATAAATAAATATTTTTTAAAAATTGAATGATGAGAACCAGCAGTTAGCGTAATGGCCATGTCGCTGGACTCCCACGTAGTCGACCATGGTTCACGTCCCAGACCCGGTGGCTTAAAACTCACGTCGGGCGCGTATGCGTGCGTGCCCCAGATCCCGAGAGGAGAATGGAGGAGAAGGGATTGCGGCGTGACCATTCCCGCTGGGGGTTGATTTCTCGCTTTCTGTCTCTCTGTCTCTGTCTGGCGAGCGCACGCGCCCTATAGTGAAAACCTCTCAAAAAAAAAAAAAAAAAAAAGGAATGAGATACCCCCATCAGTGCAGTCGGACAAGAGAGAGGATCGAAGCCCACATAAATGGGAAGGGAGAAGTAAAACCCTTTATGGGTAGATGACCTATTGTCTATGTAGGAAATGTATAGAATCAAGTCTGACTGTCGTGGCAGCTGCCTGAATGGATTGAGACTTATTGCCAGGATTAAAGTCCTATGTATCTGTCCAAGAGAAATAAAGACGCATCTGCAAATAAATGCTTCTACACAAATCTCATAGCAGTTTTATTTTTAAGAGTCCAAACTGGAAACCCAACTGTCCATCAGCAGGTGGATAAATGACGGTTTGTCGAGACAATGGAACACTACTACAGACACACAGACAACGCAATTGAGTCTAGAGACATGCCACCATGAAGAGGTCAGATATGAGCACTCACTATAGGCTTTATTTATAGAGTTCTAGAACAGCGAGGCCGTCTGCACTGAGATGCAGTCGCCCATGGCCAGCGTGAGGCTAACTAGAAAGGCAGGGGACGGTTCGTGGCGATGGAACCTCTCCTGTTCTTGATTGTGGTGGTCACACAGCTGTGTGGACTTCACAAAACTGTGCGCTTAACATAGGTGTCTCACTGCATGGAAATCGAGCCCCGATGGCCAACTGAAGCGACCTAGTACCATCTGCTTCTGCGCTATCTGGAACATCTTAGTCCTGGCCAATTTGTCAGAGAATGACATATCCCATCCTTCTTGAATTACCTGTCCCCGAGGCTCCTAAGGCTACTGGAATATGTTGAGGATTCAAAATGTGTCCTCGTGGGACCAGCAGATGGTGTAGCTGGGCACGTGGGTGTGCGTGCCCAGAATCCTGAAAGGACAATGGAGAAAGGCCGCTGGGCTCCAGTGTAGTCGACCACAGTTCGACCTGGACCCAGTGGCTTAAAACTCACACTGGCCACATTTCTGTGTGTGCCCAAAATCCCGAGAGGGATCGTGCATGGCCATCCCCCAACCCAGGGTGGGGGGTGATTTCTCACTGTCTCTTTCTCTCTGGTGAGCCCACATGCCCTATAACAAGAATCTTCTCTAAACAAGTAAACAAAAGCACCATTGTGGAAAAGAGCTTATCACTTCAAAACTGGTTGTTTTAGTTGGTGTTCAGATAAAAGGTCAGAGAGGAGACCAGCGGTGTTGCATCTGTCTCTCTCGAACAGGCCCCTAAGGAGCAGCCTGCCAGGTGCCTATCTGCACACCCCTCTAGATTGTTCTTCCTTCCCTCACTGGCCTCACTAGCCAGGAAAGGTCACCTCTTCTGCACTGCGCCCTGGTCCTCAGAGCCTATGCATGTCTCCTGGCCACACTCCCACACAGCAGAGACACCCATCTTCACACCAGCCTCACTGTCCTGGGGCCTTCCTGCTACTGCAGGCTCAGCTTGAGGACTGCAGGTCCAGCCTGTTTCCCCAGTACTCAGAACCTCCTCATATACATCAAACATGTGAGCCAAGGAGCAGGGAACTTAAAAGGGGCGTGGCAGTCCTGGAATTGCCAGGACTGAAGGAACTCTGGCGCCCCAGGACAGCCCTCTCTGCGTGGGCTGCACTCTCGGACAAGAAGGCAGTGGGCAGTGCTGCGGGCAGTGTGCCTGGCAGGGTCAACTGAACGGGCTGCTGCCTGCGGCTTCTGAGCTAAGCAGGGCCAAGACTAAGACAGGCTCTACTGAAGGCGCGTTCCAGGACCGCAACAGCCCTCACCAGGGCTGAACAGCAGAGTAGAAGTGACAAGGGGGAAACCCAGCACAGACGCCAAGTAACGCCAAGTTCTGTGAACTGAGCACTCAGGGCCGCAGCTCACCTCTGGAGACCTCCCTGGACATGCCAGGCAGGCACCCACGTCCATGACCTGGGGACGGCTTAGCTGTGGGTGGATCATGGCATGAACACTCTGGTGGGAACACCTGCCTCTCTGTCTCTTTCTCCTACCTCTCTCTTGTTCATGGGAGAAATCAACTATTTTTAAGCCACCAAGTCCAGGACTTGAACCATATAGCCGGCCATATGGAATCTAGCCACCTTAAACACCATGCCACCAGCTGTCCCCTAAAAAAATTTTTTTAAAGGACAAAGCAAAAGAGACGCCAATTGCAAGACTTAGGTGTGGCTTTTATTGCCTTGTGCTAGACACCGGGCCACGTGAGCCCCTCGGTGCGCAATGGGAGCCCAGGCACGGCAGGAGCAGGGAGGGCGACCTCGCCAAGCCTGAGGGACATGTTCTCAGGCACCGCAAGCAGGGACCCTTCACACAGCGAGGCAGGAGGCCAGAGCACAGGCCGGCTGGTCAGCAGCAGGAGGCGAGGCTTGTGGGGTGGAGTGCCAGGGATGTGGATAGTGGGGACTGACCGCACAGGACAGCACCCTTCTCCAACCTGGCAGGTCCATGCTTGCAACACAACACGCCTTTACATAGTAAAACACGCAGTTCTGCTTTAAAAGGGACTAACTCAAAGACAGGCTGTGATTGTGAATAAAGTACAGAAACTGTCTCTCTTCTCGAGACGTCTCCCATACCCACCCTCAGCGTCCGCTCAGTCAGCCGTGAGGTCCCAGGGCGAGGTCCCGGGGCCATCACAGCTGAGGAAGAGGACAGCCGGGCAGGCTGCAGGGTGAGAGTCGGCAGGCAGCCCATACCCAGAGCAGCCCCATTGGAATCTCAGAAGCCTCAGGGATCCACATCCCACCCATTTCCAAACCTCACTGGTGGAGCCAGAGCGTAACCACCTCACAGGTTACCCGCATGCTTCCCCTCACCTCCAGACTGCTCGCCCAGAGGCATGGGGGTCGTGCTGGGAGAGGGCCTCTCCCCGCCCTGTCCACTGCGTTTATAGGCAGGGCTTGAGCTGAGGGCCTCCCCGAGCTGACCACACTCATGCAGCTTCTCCCCTGTGTGAACCTTCTGGTGCTGGAGGAAGTTGGACCTCTGGATAAAGCCCTTCCCGCAGTGACTGCACACGTAGGGCTTCTCCCCGGTGTGGGTGATCTGATGGAGCAGCAGCTTGGAGCTCTGGATAAAGGCCTTTCCGCAGTCCTTGCACTCAAAAGGCCTGTCCCCGGAGTGAATTTTCTGGTGCTCGGTGAGGTGCGCTTTCTGGAGGAATGCTTTCCCGCACTCCTTACACTCGTACACCCGCTCTCCGGTGTGGATCTTCTGGTGCCGGATGAGGTAGGAGCTGAGGAAGAAGGCCTTCCCACACTCACCACACTCGTACAGCTTCTCCCCTGTGTGGATCCGCTGGTGCTGGGTGAAGTTGGACGTCTGGCTGAACGGCTTCCCGCACTCGTTGCACACGTAGGGCCTCTCCCCGGTGTGGATGCGCTGGTGCGGGATCAGCTTCGAGCTGCGGATGAAGGCCTTCCCGCACTCACCACACTCGAAGGGCCTCTCCCCCGTGTGGATCCGCTGGTGCTCAATCAGGTCTGAGCGGTGGCGGAAGGCCTTGCCGCACTCGCTGCACTCGTACTGCCTCACCTCTGTGTGGACCTGGTAGTGCCGGATGAGGCTGGAGCTCCGGATGAATGCCTTCCCGCACTCGTTGCACTCGTAGGGCCGCTCCCCCGTGTGGATCCGCTGGTGGCGGATGAGCAAGGAGCTCTGGCTGAAGCCCTTTCCACACTCTTTGCATTCAAAAGGCCTCTCCCTGGTGTGAACACGCTGGTGCCGAAGCAGGTCCGAGCTGTGACAGAAGGCTTTCCCACACTGAGCACATTTGAAGGGCTTCCCTCCTGGGCGTCCGCGCTGGTGCTCAGAGAGTCCCGCGCAGTGGGCAAAATCCATCCCACACTCCCTGCATGCGTACAGCCTCCCCCCGCCGTGCGGGCTCCGGTGCTCAGTGAGCTGTGGGCCCTGACCAAGTCCCCTCCCACTCTGGTCACACTCGTAAGGACTCTCGCCAGCATGAGAAATCCGATGCCTAACTAGGCCTGAATCCAGCGGGCAACCTGTGCCGTGAAGGTCCCCAGGATGGGCCTCCCCCGAGACAAGCTCTCCCGGAAGCAGGAGCGGGTCTGAGCCGAGCACAGGGCTTCTTCCTGCCTGGCCGCATACCTGTGCAGCTGCTCCTGTTTGGATTCTCCAGTGGCTCACGGTCACCTGCTTGAAGCTCCCCTCTTCAAAGGGGCAACTCCGCAGGTTGTGCCGTTCTTCATCCTCCAATGGGTCCCCTATGCTGGGTTCCAAGACCTGCGCAGGCCCAGGAGAGGGCGGCTCCATCACTGTGGGTTGGTCTGACACTGTTCCACACAAGTTTTCATCCTCAGAAAGTATGGCCTCGGAGTCACCGTCTTGTTTCCAATTCCTACACTAAAATCTGAAATAAAAGGACAAGATCCCCTTTGTTAAGAGACAGCACAGTTGAAGCCAGCAGCTGTAAGACTCACGTCTCATGCGGAGAAAGGAGAGGCCAGCACTCCCGCCTGACTCCAGACCCAGAGAGCTGCCACTCTCTCCAGCACACAGGGAGGCTCTGTGGGGCCCCACACCTGACTTTGAGACAAGCTGCCCCAAGGTGCACTCCTCTGACGCTCAGTGAGTCCCACAGGGGATGGGCTGGATGCCATTAAACACTGAGACAGCACGGCCGAGGAAGCACGCCCACACAGCAGCCCTGTACCTTCTCGCCCTCCCTACGCCAGGCTCATGCCGGTCTGTGGGGGAGACACCAGCTTGGCTAAACCTGCTGGCTTCTGCTCTGAGTTCACTTTCCTGCTCACGGGGCCAGGGCTGTGTGGCTCCCACACTGCGTAACTCTCCCCAACACTCTCCTGCCTTGTCCTCCCTTTGTAGATGTCCAAAACCCACCTCCCTCAGTTCTGGGCTTTACCTCTCCTTTCAGGATAAAAACAGGACGAGAAAGTCCACTTCCTCCCTTGGCCCCCAGCCGGCCCCTCTGGGCCCAGCCTCTGCCCACCCTCTGGTTCTGTGAGTCCACTAGTCAGTCAACAGTGAGACTGCTCTGGATTCACCTCTGCAATGCAAGGACCTCAAAGGAGCCGTCCTCCCGTCTGCTCAGTCATGAGGCCTCACCCCTGCCACCTTTCCCACCATAATGCCCGACCTCTATCCTCAGAAAGGAGGGATGGGCTGCCATGATGACAGGCCTGGGGAGGAGTGGGGCTCGACCCAGCCTTGTGCCCTCTGTGAGCCAGCCGTCTCCAGGGCACACACCCGCTCTGCACTTGGCCACAGAGCTCCATAGGGCAGCCTGACAGGAGGGCCTCGGTGGACGGCCCTCGGTGGACGGCCCTCGGTCTGCGGGAGCATCACGTGGCCAGCACGGAGGTGACCATGCCTTACACCTCTGTCCCAGCTGGCGCAGAACTCGGGACGGGAGAGGTCACTGCTCTCAGGATGAGAAGGACCGAGAAGCTGACACCCATAGCAGGGGGCACTAAGGTTCAAACCAGGTCTGGCCGCCCCAGCACCCATTTCCCCCCTGAAGGACTTTCTCACCCAATGAATGTTCACAGAGTATTGTGCTTAATGATCCACTGGGATTCTTATTATATAAGAAAACTTACAAACCCCTGGGACCAGCAGTTGGCATAATGGCTATGTCGCTGGACTCCCATTTAGTCCGCGGTTTGAGTCCCAGACCTGGTGGCTTAAACTCACACTGGGTGCGTGTGTGTGCGTGCCCAAAATCTCGAGAGGAGAATGGAGAGAAGGGATTGTGGCGTTGCTATCCCCCCTGGGGGGTGATTTCTCTCTTTCTGTCTCTTTGTCTTTCATGAGTGCACAAGCCTTATAGCAAAAACCTCTCTTAAAAAAAAAAAAAAGAAGAAGAAGAAAACTTACCAGCCCCATAACACAATGGTTAAGTGCTATGCATTGGGAGCCAAATCCCAAAAGGAACCATGGTTCGAATCCCAGCCCAGGCAGCTTGAAAAACACATCAGGTGGGAGCTGGGCAGGTGGCATGGTGATTGGAACACTGGACTCCCACATGGCTGACTGTGGTTCTATTCCTGGACCTGGCAGCTTGCTTTCTCCCTCTCCCTTTCTCTGTGCATCTCCCTCTGATTAAAATGAATAATAATAATTAAATAATTAATTTCAAAAAAATAAATAAAGAAAAACACATCGGGTGCGTGTGCGTGCACTCGAAACCCTGACAGAACCGCGAGATGGAAGAGAAGGGACTGAGGTGTGACCACGCCCCTTTGGGAAGTACCTGCTCCCTCTCCCTGTTTTTCTTCTCTCTGGTAAGAGCATGCACCCTCTAACAAAGGGGAAAAAAGGGGGTGGGGAGAGGTGCCAGCAGGTGGGATGGTGGTTAAGGCCCTGGACTTCCACATGGCTGACTGCGGTTCAAGTGCCGGACCTGGTGGCTTGCTTTCTGACATCTCCTTTCCCTTTCTGGTCAAAATAACAACAACAAATAAAGTTAAATAAATTTTTTTAGAAAAGGAAGGGGTGAGGGGTCAGCAGGTGGAGTGGTGGTTAAGGGCGCTGGACTCCCACTGCCCGACCATGGTTCGCGTCCTGGACCTGGTGGCATGCTTTCTCTTTCCTTCTCTCTCACTCTGTCCCTCTTTGGTCAAATTAAAAATAAATATAAAATAAAGTTAAATAAAATAATTTAAAAAAAAAAGAAAAGAAAAGGAAGGGGTGAAATGAGGATGTTGGTTTCCTGTCTGGGAGTCAATGCCACTCTTCTGACTCTCCTTTTCAGATAACTACTACAGCACCTGGGGACATACTTGCTCGAGGGCGTGTGTACTAGGGTGAGGGTCATGCACCAGCCCCGTCTCTTTCTCCATCCTGCTGGGACTTTGGGGACACATGCACACACACTATGCTCCTCACGCTTCTGGATCAGGAACTGAACTGCAATCGGACACGTGGGATCTGGCTCCCTTAACCACTAAGCTACAAGGCTGGCCCTCCTTCTGAGGGTATAGTGGTGAAGGCACTGGACCCCCACATGGCCAACTACTGTCTGAGTCCTGGACCTGGCAGCTTGCTTTCTCACTTTCCATTTCTCTCTCTCTGCCTCTTTCGGGTCAAACCGAATAATAATTAATTAATTAATTAATTAATTAATTTAATTAATAGTAGGCCAGAGGGTAACATAGTAGTTAAGGCATTGCACTTTCACATTGCTGACTATAGTTCAAGTCCCAGATCTAGTGGTTTTAAACTCATGCCAGACACATGTGTGGGCATTCTTAAAATCCCAAAAGGAGAATGGAGAAGGGATTTCATCCCCACTAAGGGGTGCTTTCTTACTTTCTGTCTCTCCTTTAAGTGCACATGCCCTATAGCAAAAATCACTCTCTAAATAAAGACAATAAATAAATAAGGGTCGGCAGGTGGCATGGTTTGTTAGGGGTGCTGGACTCCCACATGGTTCAAGTCCAAGACCTGGTGGCTTGCTCTCTCACTTTCTCTTTCTGTCTCACTCTGTCCCTCTCTGGCCAAATTTAAATAAATAAATTAAGTTAAATAGAAATAATTCTTTAAAAAATAATAATTCTTCTGAAAAAAGTCAAACATATTTGGCTAGCTGGTGACACAGTGGTTTAAGACAGTTGGATTCCACCTGACCAACTGCACGGTTTTTGTTTTTTGGGGGGGTTTTTTGAGAGTTTTTTTTTCCCTTTATTTTTATTTTTATTTTTTTATACATTCAATCAATCACATTATTATTTGTCTTACAAAATGGATATTTCAACAGGTGAATATTTCCCTCTAGTACAGTTGATAAAACTACAAAATATCTTCAACACATAATACCACATTTCTTTGTGCCATTAATGCTTTGCCTATTTTTCTTTTAAATGTCCTTCCTCAGACCCTCCTCTTTCACACACACTATATCTGGTATTTATATCTATATACTGTGTCCAATTGCACAGTTTAAGTCCCAGACCTGGTGGCCTGAAGAGTATGCCCGGCAAATTTATCTGCATACCCAAAATCCCGAGATCATGCCCCGGGAGGAACTCCCCAACCCTTGTCCCTCTCCATCGAGTACATGCGCCATCTGGCAAACTTTAAAAATAAAAAAACTCGGGGCCAGCAGTTAGCGTAACGGCTATGTCGCTGGACTCCCATGTAGTCGACCACGGTTTGAGTCCCGGACCCGGTAGCTTAAAACTCACGCTGGGCGCGTGTGTGTGCGTGCCCAAGATCCCAAGAGGAGAATGGAGGAGAAGGGATTGCGGTGTGGCCATCCCCCCTGGGGGGTGATTTCTCGCTTTCTATCTCTCTGTCTCTGTCTGGTGAGCGCACGCGTCCTATAGCAAAAACCTCTCCAAAAAAAAATTTTTTTTAAATAAAACAAAATTAAAAAACTCATAGGAAAGTGGAATCAAAGCAAGAGATTATCTTTAAAAACAAAATCAGGGCCAGCAGGTGGCATGGAGGTTACAGAGCTAGATCCCACATGGCCAGCTTCACGGTTCAAGTTCCTGACCTGGTGGCTTGAGAATCACACCAGGTAGGTGTGTGTGCATGTCCAAAATCCCAAGAGAAGAGTGGAGAAGGGATTGTGGCATGGCCATGGCCTGAGGGGGAAAGTTCTCACTTTCTCTCTCTTGTTCTCTGTGTTCTCTGGCAAACACAAGAACCCTATGGCAACACTATTTTTTTAAAAAAGAACGTATCTTGTTTTTTTTGTCTATTTTTTTTTGAGAGATTTTCGCTATAGGGCGCGTGCACTCGCCAGACAGACAGAGAGAGACAGAGAGACAGAAAGCGAGAAATCACCCCCCAGGGGGGATGGTCACGCCGCAATCCCTTCTCCTCCATTCTCCTCTCGGGATCTTGGGCACGCACGCACACATGCCCGGCGTGAGTTTTAAGCCACCGGGTCCGGGACGCGAACCGCGGTCGACTACGTGGGAGTCCAGCGACATAGCCATTACACTAACTACTGGTTCCCAAAAAGAACCTATCTTTTGAAGAAATACAAATCAAAATCAACAATCTTCAGTTTTCACTTAGCTCCCCTTTCTTTTGAGAGAAGGGTAGAGGGCATATGCACTCACCAGAGACAGAAAAAGACAATGAGAGAAAGTGAAAAATTACCCCCAGGGGGGATGGCCATGCTGCAATCCTTTCTCCATTCTCCTCTTCGGATTTTGGGCATGTATGCACACACACCTGGCATGAGTTTCAAGTCTCCGGGTCCAGGACTCGAACCATGGTTGAGTCTAGCACTTTAACAACTATGCCACCAGCTGGCTCCAAATCAATACTTTCACTTAAAGAAACCCGAATGAAATGTATAATGAAAGCAGCAATGTGCAAGGCCCCTGGGCCCACAGTACATCGGGCTGGCAGAGCATGTTCCCATTTTAGCAGCCAGAACTTGCTGGATGAAACCTCCACGGCACAGCCTCGAGGCACTGCTGCTGTGAGGCAGCAGCCATTGCCAGGTGATCTGCGTGGCCAGGGGTGGTACCCTGTGGACCTCAGCTCTGAGCCCTGCACTGGGGACTGGACACCATGCTGGGGCCTGCAGTTGGCTCACAAGCCAAAGGAAGCGTGGGGGGGGGAGGTTGCTTCCTGAGTGTCAGCCTACGGACAAGAGGAAGAAGCGCAACAGTGAGGCATTCAATCCGGGAGGACCCCCATCTTGGGGCCTGCCACCCTCAGAGCCTAGGCCACACCCTCGGCAGCAAGGGGCTGACGGCCTGGTGTGTGCCAGTCACAGTGCAGAGGCACTTCTTGGTCCCTTCTCTCTCTCTTTTTTAGATAGTTTGGTATAGAGCGTGTGCATTTGCTGAGGAGAAAGACAGAAAATGGAAAAGCACCCTCAGGGTACAAGGCCACACCACAATCCCTTCTCCTCCACTCTCTTCTTGGGATTTTGGATATGCGCACATACACCCAGCATATTTTTCATGCCACTGGGTCTAGGGCCCGAACTGCAGAGTCAGTCATATGGGATCCAGGGCCTTAATCTCCATGCCACTGGCCAGCCTCCAGTTCTTATTTTATTATTTATTGTTTTTAGAGGTTTTAGTCTTAGGGTGTGAGTGCTCACCAGAGAGAGAAGACAAAGTGAAAGAGAAAGTGAGAAATCACCCCCCAGAGGGGATGGCCACATCCTTCTCCATTCTCCTCTCAGGATCTTGGGCACGCACGCACATGCGCCCAGCGTGAGTTTAAGCCACGGGGTCTGGGACTCGGACCACAGTCGACTACATGGGAGTCCAGCAACATAACCATTACGCCATCTGCTGGTCCCCCACACCCTAGTTTCAAACCACAGGGTCCAGAACTTGAACCATGGGGGAATCCGGTGAAGTAACTGCTACGCCATCTGCTGGTCCCCACTTCTTTCCTATGGACTCCTCTCAGCAGTCCACAGGAGCCATCCCTGCAGGGAGGTGACCTGCTCAAGGCCAGAGAAGTGGAGCCAGCTGCTTCTTCACCCCCACCGCCTCCCAGCCCCCAGCATGCTGTTCTAGGGGACCTGCCCAAGGACCACATGGAGCTTCTCCTTTGTTCCTGTCAAGTCCAGTGTCCTTTCAATGGCCAGACCCGGCTGTGTCTGTGACAGCCCTTCCAACTGCTCCAGCGCCAGCAGCTACTTCCCCACCTCTCCTTCCACTCTGGCTCTGCCCTTTATCCTGCCATTCCCTAGCCCTCCCTGAGAGGCAGGACTGCATCCCGGTCACTGGGAAGGCTGGAGCAGTGCAGGCTCTGCAAATCCACTGACACTGTCGGAACGCGACCCAGTGGCAGGGACAAAGGCCGTCATCTCTGGACAGGGCAGACGTTTCTCTCACTCACCGAGACAAGCTCAGCGAAGATTCTGCTGCTACAGCGGGGAGATGAAGATGGGCTCCACAGCCTGCGGTATGAACACTGGTTCCCAGCTCGGTCCGCGGGCACTGGCAGCTCCTCAGGCCCCAGCAACCCTCCAGACTGTGACAACGTGAAGGGGGCAAAACACCTCGTCTGCACAGCGTCGGTTGCTGTATTAAAAGACTTCTAGGGAAACCTCCCGGCGAAAGCCAGGCCAGCGCCTCCGAACCACCTCTACGCACCTGGGAGTGCTCCTTCGGCCTGGGCCAGCAAGGTGGCCTCGGGCCCCAGGATGAAGCAACACAGCGGCAGAAACATCTGGGGCAGCGCTGCGTGCCTCTCACCTAATGTCCACGCCAGCTTGGAGGCCGAGGCCAGACGTCTTCGCCGGCGCTCTGCGGCCGGGCGTGTGGCCCTGGAAGCCGCGAAGGGCCGGGGATGAGGCGGAGAGGGGCCAACAGAAAGACGAGAATTCACCTTCGGGCCGCGCTGGGCTTGGCAAGGGCTAGCCGAGGCCCGGCGCCCGGAGCACGCTCCTCCCACCGCGCCGGCGAAGACCACAGA